GGGGCCCCCCCCTGTTCCTTCCTTCCCCCCCCCCCCGGCCCCAATCAGGAAGAGGGAATCCCACAAGAGCAAGCTAGCACGTTGGTCCTATATTGCCACGTCCCTTCTCTGGGTGGCTGTTGGGGCGTGGCCGCAGCTGTCACGCACTTCTTTTTATCCAGGAAGGAGGCGGGAGCTAGGGCTCTGACTACCCTGGTGCCCCAGGCCCCCTCCAGCACCCAGCCCTTTGGCCAAGGTGCAGCCGACAGGGGAGGGGCAAGCAGGGAGGGAAGGAGAGCCCTCCTCCTTCAGGAGGGAAGGTGTGAGAGGAGGCCCACCCCAGGCCATGCCTGCCCAGTGCACAGGCCCCAGATCTGCCCTGGGCCTGCCTGAAGCCAGCACTGCCCCGACTTCCCCTGTCCTTGTCCCCCTTCAGCATCTGGTTGCCTGTTCCTGGCTGGAGCAGCCAGGACAATGTCTTGGCTTCTGGGCACATGTGAGGTAGGGTGTGGGGCCACCTGTCCCCAGGGAACAGGCAGAAGCATTTAGGACCTAGTTCTGGGGTCCCTGTGGGGAGAGCCTCAAGCCCGTGCACAGGCAGGGACACAGCCACTGGGCTGTCCTTGGGGCAGAGCCTGGGCATTCCCCAGGCCCTAGGGGCCCTCTCCCCTCCCTACTTGCCCTTTCTCCTCCTGCAGAGTGAAGTCAGAGGCCATCACTGCCCGCCGTGAGCCCAAAGAAGAGGGGGAGGATGTAAGCAGCTATCTCTGTACAGAATTGGTATATTCCACTATTAACATGTGGGGCCTTGGGGTGGGTGGGGGGCATGGGGAGGGGGCTCCCTGGGACTTGCTGGTTCTTCTGGGCTGTGTGACATCAACCCAGCCAGCACCTCACTTGCCACCCCAGCCCCATGACTTCATGGGGTCAGAGCCACCCCTCGGTGGCATCCCCACCCTGGAGGGACACTGGGTCACCTTTCATCCGTGGGGTTCTAGGGGATGCATTTTGCATGGTCAGCCATTGCTCTGTGTGCTCCCAAGCTGCAGAATTAGTGACGGTGGCCTCCCAGGTGCCCAACCCACCCAAGGAGCATGGCATGTCCTGAGGAAAGCCCTTGTCGCTGCGGAGCCTTCTGCCCCTCCAGAGTAGAGGTCTGGGCTGAGCAGATTGCCTGTGCAGCCAGCGATGTGGCCACCTCCCTTAAGCAGAATGGGCTTTGCTCTTGGAATCACCAACCCCATGTTCAACTTTGGACACTGACTTCATGGCTTGTTAGCTCAGTCACTTGGGGGTCATGGTGAAGACAGAGTGAAGTTGTGTGACACAGGCTCAAGAGACAGTGGCCATCCAGTGCAAACCCCCACCTCCAAATAGCCTAAGAGAGAAATAGCTGACGTGATTGTGGACCCCCCAGGGCCCCTCCCATGCTGAGTGCAAAGAGTTGCCCTCCGGCCTGGTCCCTTGCTCCAGGCACAAGGTCGGACATGCATCTGTGAGCACAGAGCACTGCGTGCTGGGGGCCATGTGCGCACAGCCCCATCTGCCCAGAGCACAGCTGTGGGGCGCAGACCAGCAGACCCCACACAGTCCTGCCAGAACCCAGCATTATGCTGCCCAGACCTTCCCAAGAGCTCCCTTTCCTGTCATCTCACCTTGCACCAGTCCCACTTGTGCTGTTGTAGCATTTGGGACTGCCCAAGGTGTCCAGGGACTTATAAAAGTCACCTGCATTGTACCCCACAAGTGTATCATGTGACTCGGTGTACCTCTCCCCACTGCTGTTTGCCTGAGGGTCTGTGGGAAATCTGCATTTGGATGCGCCCTCACCTAGAGCGCATTCCCTCCACCCCACCCTCCACCCACCTGGAGGTACCCCAGGACGAAGTGAGGTGTGGCCTGGCCTCAGAGGAGCTGAGCTGACCCTCTGGCCAGTCCTTCATTGGCTGAGCCACGGTGCCTCTCCCTGCTACAGGACAAAATCCCCATGGCCCAGCGCCGCCGCTTCACTCGGGTGGAGATGGCCCGAGTGCTCATGGAGCGTAACCAGTACAAGGAACGGCTCATGGAGCTGCAGGAGGCCGTGCGGTGGACCGAGATGATCAGGTGCGCCTGCCCCGAGGGTTCCACTTGTGAGCCCTGGTCGCTGTGTGAGCAGCTGTGGGGTTACCCTTGACTACGGGATTGAGGCTGATCTCCCCCGTGCCTCCCTGTCTTCTGGGAGGGAAGGAGCCCTCAGGACCCAGGCTAGGGACAAAGGTGCCCATAAAGTTTCTGCCCACACCCCTCCCTGTAGAGCGTCCCGAGAACATCCGTCCGTCCAGGAGAAGAAGAAATCCACCATCTGGCAGTTGTGAGTTGGCGCCTGGGAGGCTGTGGCTGGTGGCTGCTGGGGAAGGGGCAGATGCTCCTCTGGGCCACTGCCCGCCCCTCACCCCCCTGCACCCCTCTGGCAGCTTCAGCCGCCTCTTCAGCTCCTCCTCCAGCCCCCCTCCAGCCAAGCGGTCCTACCCCTCGGTCAACATCCATTACAAGTCGCCCACCACGGCTGGCTTCAGCCAGCGGCGGAGCCACGGCATGTGCCAGATCTCAGCGGGCAGCCGGCCCCTGGAATTCTTCCCTGACGAGTGAGTGCCCCGGGCCTCCACTGCCCCTCCCTTGCAGGATGGGAAGCAGGACCTTGAGAGCCGGCCTCCACCTCACTGCACTGCGGAGGTGTCCATGGCGGGAAGGACACTGGCCAGGCATCAGGGCTCATGGCCTCTGCACGCACATACTACCTGCCCCCACCACCAGCAGGGACTACAGCTGGTCTAACTCCAGAGTATTCTGCTCTGATGTCCCTGGCAGAGTCTGCACTCCCCCAACGGCCCGTACTCTTAGTCCCAAAGTGTTGTGCTGGGCTCCCTATGGCCCCCGGCCCTGTGTGCAGTCCCTGGGACAGCTGCCCTCGAGGATCTCATGTTGCTGCAGCCAGGGCTCATTTCAGGCCACATCCAGGAAGGAACCAGTGGCCGCACTGTAGGCCCCTTGGTGACTGTGACAACAGAACAGGCTTCACTCTGGGACAGGGGCAGGTGCAGAACATGGCCTCCAAGACCCGGGCCATGCCCAGTGCTGGGGAGAGCCACCCCCATCAGATGGCCGCCCAATGGCCGGGAAAGGCGAGGACAGGCTTAGGTGGGCCTCCCTGCCACCGGCCCCTCCAGGGGCCAGTTTCCCAGGGCTGTGGGTCAGTGTGTGCCGCGGGCCTCGTGCACCTTGGGCAGAGGCGTGACCTGTCGTCCTCCCACCCAGCGACTGCACGTCCTCCGCCCGGCGGGAGCAGAAGCGTGAGCAGTACCGCCAGGTGCGCGAGCATGTGCGCAACGACGACGGGAGGCTACAGGCCTGCGGCTGGAGCCTGCCTGCCAAGTACAAGCAGGTGGGGGGCGGGGCAAGGGGAGGGGTGGCAGGGGACGGGACAGGGCCGGACTGGCACCACCACCTGGGCCTGGGCCGCGGGTCGGAGCTCTCCTGAGGCCCCGAGGGCCAGGCCCCACCAGCCCAGCCTGGTGCTCACTGGCCTCCTGCCTCATTGCAGCTCAGCCCCAACGGGGGCCAGGAGGACTCACGGATGAAGAACGTGCCTGTCCCCGTTTACTGCCGCCCCCTGGTGGAGAAGGACCCGACCATGAAGGTGAGCCCGCAGAGGACCCACCCCAGCCACCTCGGGTCACCCCGCAGGAGGAGGAGCGAGCAGCGGACCGCGGCCTGTGTCTTGCAGCTGTGGTGCGCTGCTGGTGTCAACTTGATTGGGTGGAAACCAGGCGAGGACGACCCTGGGAATGGAGTCAAGCCGGCACCGGGCCGTGACCCTCTGACCTGCGACCGGGAGGCGGAAAGCGAGCCCAAGAGCAACCACACATCTCCTGAGAAGAAGAAGGTCAGCGTGGCCAGCCTAGGCCACCGGGGTGCCTTCCCCCACTTGCAGCTCTGGCAGCTCAGCACAGAGTCTGTTTGGGAGGCACAGAAGTGATGCAGCTGGGGACAGTGCCCCTGAGGCTGGGTAGACGAGGCAGGAGCTCCTGGAATGGGGGGGATGACCATCATCTCTTCCCCTCCCTGGGGCAGGCCTGGGGCTGAGCTGCCTCCTGGGTTCTATCCAGGTGCCAGGGGTCAGGAGGGCAGTTCAAGACCTTTGCCCTTGGAGCTGTGGCATCCTCCCCAGGCATCCTTGGGGGTCTGGGAGTGCCGAGGGGCTGCAGCTCTGCAGGCATTGGGGCTGGAGGGCGTCGCGTCCACTAGGTGCTTCTCTCCATGTGAGGAGCACATTTCACAGCCTGAAGAGGAGCAGACAGCAGGAGGGGCTGCACACTGGAGGAGGGCAGAAAACGCCTCCCACCTGTGGTCCCAGGCTTAGGTTTATGTCCCAGCATGCCCTAGGGCCAGTGACTTGGCCTCTGGGAGCTTGCAGTCTTTCTCTGTGGAAGTGAGACTCTGTACGTGAGCGATCTAGATAACATGCAGTTCTGAGCTCTCATGGTGCTGGTTATGGGGGAGGACAGCCATGTCCCTGAAGCCATGGTCAAGACAAGATCCTAAGAGATGCCAGGAGACCCCCCCCCCAATGACTCTGTGTTGCTGCTGGGGTGGCCATGAGCTCAGGCCCCTGCCTTCATCTTTGCTCTGAAACAGGCAAAGGAACTCCCCGAAACAGATGCCACCTCCAGCAGGGTGTGGATTCTTACCAGCACCCTGACCACCAGCAAGGTGGTGATCATCGACGCCAACCAGCCGGGCACCGTGGTGGACCAGTTCACGGTCTGCAACGCCCACGTCTTGTGCATCTCCAGCATCCCCGGTGAGCCCTGGTCCCATAGGCTCTGCTAGGCTCTGCCCAGGAATGGGTGTCACTCTGGGAGGCCGGTGCTCGGAGGAGGGTGGTAGTGGTTTTTACAAAGGGCTGACTAGGATAGTAAATAAAGAGGCCTACCACGCAGCACGCGTCTCCTTTGACATCACAGGGGAGTGTGGAAACGGACAGTGGGAGGTGGCCTGTGCTGGTCCAGCGAGACCCCGGGTCATGTGTCCAGGAGGAAGAGCGCTGGTGGCCTTGTTGAGTTTAGTCTCATTACTGACTTGGGAGGAGACTGTGGCCCACCCATCTGATTGGGAGGTTGTGGGTGGGCCATGGCGCGGGCCATGGATTGAAGCCTCAATTGGAGGCAGTAAGAAAACATTTTTTTGTGCTGAATGTGAAACTTGCAGTTGGACCCAGATTCCACTGCCTTGCTGAGGGTCGGGAGAGCTGGGGGCGTGCAGCAAGGGGACGTTGGGCCCAGTGCAGCATTGTAAGAAGAAGGGGGAACAGGGCCTGTGTCTGGTGTGAAGCCCTCGGCCATTTGCTGAGATGTCTCTGAGGTCCCCAGAGCCCCATAGGGACTGTTACATGACCACAGATTGCCCCCAGGACCAGAGTCTTACTGCACAGCTCCCCTTGGCCCAGGAACCCCCTAACAAAGCAGATTGCTTGTGTCTGGTCTTGAGTGGGCGGGGGTGGGCGGGGCCAGTGCAGAGAGGGGAGACTGGTCCAGCTGGAAGACAGTGGAATGGCCCCGCCCACTGGGATGGGGGCTCTGGGCATGGCCTTGCAGTATTGGGCTCCTGGGCTGGGCTGACTGGGCTGTGACTCTGCTCCCAGCGGCCAGCGACAGTGACTACCCCCCTGGGGAGATGTTCCTAGACAGCGACGTGAACCCAGAGGACTCGGGCACTGATGGCGTGCTGGCTGGCATCACCCTGGTGGGCTGCGCCACCCGCTGCAACGTACCACGGAGCACCTGCTCCTCCAGAGGGGACACCCCAGTGCTGGACAAGGGGCAGGGTGAGTCCTGGGTGGCCTTCTTTTTGCCATTCCTTCATCCCTCCATCTCTGCCCAGCCCATGCTCACCCCTCCTTCCATAGGGGAGGTAGCTGCTGTTGCCAACGGGAAGGTCAACCCATCCCAGTCCACAGAGGAGGCCACAGAGGCCACAGAGGTGCCAGACCCTGGGCCCAGCGAGCCAGAGGTGGCTGCAGTGCGGTCTGGTCCCCTCACGGAACACGTCTTCACAGACCCAGCCCCTACCCCGCCGTCCAGCACCCAGTCTGGCAGGTGGGCTCTCTTGGGCTGGGGCAGAGACAGGAGTGGAGGGGAGACCGGTGAAGGTGGCAGGGTCCCAGGATAGGGACATACTTCCGTGTACATCCCAGACACATCCTTCCTGCAGTGAGAATGGGCCAGAGCCTGACAGCAGTGGTACACAGCCTGAGCTGGAGCCCAATGGGGACCCCGCAGGGGCCAGCAGCAGTGCCGCACCCACCATGTGGCTGGGAGCCCAGAACGGCTGGTAGGCAGGGCCTGGGACTTGGGAGGCCAGTGGGGATGGTGCCTGGGCCAACCCCTCACCCACTGCGACCCCTCCTGCAGGCTCTACGTGCACTCGGCTGTGGCCAACTGGAAGAAATGTCTGCACTCCATCAAGCTGAAGGATTCCGTGCTGAGCCTGGTGTACATGGTCCCCAGCTGAGGGTGGGTATGGGGCAGGCCTAGGGTGCCCAGGTCTGCTCACTGCTTTCCCATTCCAGGCATGTCAAAGGCCGTGTGCTGGTGGCTCTGGCAGACGGGACTGTGGCCATCTTCCACCGCGGAGAAGGTAAGGCCTGGCAGCACTGGGTGGGTGGGTGGTGGTCAATGGCCCTCCCAGGGATTGGCCAAGGGGCTCCCCGGAGCCTGTCAGCCTGGCAGTGGGGTCTCCAACCCACCCCACCCATTGAGCAGAGGTGGGTCCAGGCCAGGCCTGAACAGGTGTCTTGGGCTGTGTTCAGACGGCCAGTGGGACCTGAGCAATTACCACCTGATGGACTTGGGCCACCCCCATCACTCCATCCGCTGCATGGCCGTCGTGCATGATCGCGTCTGGTGCGGCTACAAGAACAAGGTGCACGTCATCCAGCCCAAGACCATGCAAATCGAGGCGAGTGCTGGCCGGGTGGGTGGGCCCAGGGAGGGGAGGGGCTTCTACTGGCTGCATGGCTTCCCAGAGTGCCTTCAGGAAGGCCTTTGGAGCTTTGGGAGATGAAGTGAGGTCACAGTCAGTGCAGGGCAACTGGGCTGTGAATGCCAGTCTGTCTGAAACCTGTTTTCTGCCACTCCCCCTTGACATGGAAGTCAAGGACCCACAGCTTGGGCTTCTCACAGGAGCCTGGGCTATCAGGAGCAAAGCAGGCACCAGAATGGAGGTTGGAGTGGGCTGTGTGACGTTGGGGTGACCCTAGGCTGTAGCAGGTTCAGGAGTCCCCTCGCCTTTCTTTCCCCCACCCCCATTGATGGGCTGCCATGATCCCACAGAAGTCGTTTGATGCCCACCCGCGGCGGGAGAGCCAGGTGCGGCAGCTGGCATGGATCGGCGATGGGGTGTGGGTGTCCATCCGCTTGGATTCCACCCTGCGGCTCTACCATGCTCACACCCACCAGCACCTGCAGGACGTGGACATAGAGCCCTATGTCAGCAAGATGCTGGGTGAGGGGCCGCGCCAGGCGGGAGCGGGGGGCACCTGGTACCGGCCGCACTACACTGATCCCTCCTCTCCCGACCTGCCAGGCACCGGCAAGCTGGGCTTCTCCTTTGTGCGAATCACGGCCCTACTCATCGCCGGCAACCGCCTCTGGGTGGGCACTGGCAACGGGGTCGTCATCTCCATCCCCTTGACTGAGAGTGAGTGACCACCTCCCACCTGCAGAGGTGGTGGTGGCTGCCGCTAAAGGGCGCGTGTCAGGCCTCCAGGGCGGTTGGGCTCTGCAAGACTACCTTCAAGGAGACTCTGGCCACCCTGGCTGCAGCCAGACTCGGCTGCTAGGACTGACTGCTTCTTCTCTCTCCCTTCCATGCTCCACCCTTGCCTCCCCCAGCCGTGGTCCTGCACCGAGGCCAGCTCCTGGGGCTCCGAGGTAAGTCCAGAGTGCCTGCCCGCTGCACATAGAAGGAAACCCAGGCCCAGATGCTATGTGGTACTGAGGCCCTGGGCCCAGGGCAGCTCTCCCACCCTCCCCCACCTGCTGGAAGTTTGATCCTCCCATCTGCAGTGGGCCCAGCCCCCTCCCACACCTCTCCGTCTCCAGCCAACAAGACATCCCCCACCTCTGGAGAGGGGGCCCGGCCGGGGGGCGTGATCCACGTGTACGGGGACGACAGTAGCGACAAGTGTGCCAGCAGCTTCATTCCCTACTGCTCCATGGCCCAGGCCCAGCTCTGCTTCCATGGCCACCGCGACGCTGTCAAATTCTTTGTCTCAGTGCCGGGTAAGGGGCTGGCCGGCTCCCTGATTGCCCACCCTACCTCCCAGGGTGCAGTGGCCTCCCTTCAGGGGGCTGCTGTCCTGAGCCTCTGCCCTGATGACAGGGAACGTGCTGGCCACCCTCAATGGCAGCGTGCTGGATAGCCCGTCTGAGAGCCCCGGGCCCACTGCTCCTGCCGCAGACACCGAGGGTCAGAAGCTGAAGAATGTGCTGGTGCTGAGTGGCGGGGAGGGCTACATCGACTTCCGCATTGGGGACGGAGAGGATGACGAGAGCGAGGAAGGGGCAGGGGACGCAGGCCAGGTGAAGCCCGTGCTGTCCAAGGCGGAGCGCAGCCACATCATCGTGTGGCAGGTGTCCTACACCCCCGAATGAGGCCACCGCCCGCCCTGCCTGATGCCAATGTGTACATAGGACTCCTGCCCACCTGCCTGCCCGCCCTCTGGGGCAGCCAGGCCAGTCCACCCCCTTCTAACCTCTCAATCTGCAGCTTTCACCGAGGCCCGGCCCCCTCCGCGGGCAGGGAGCAAGGAAATGTGGGTCAGCTGGGAGAGAGGAGGGCTGGTGGCATTCCCACCCAGGAGGGGAAGAACCCCTCAGGAACACTCTTTCCCCCAGCAGCTCCTGGCCAGCACCCAGCCACAGTCCTCAAGTCCCAGGGGCACCTCAGGGCCACAGCGAGGTGGGATCATGGGAACTGTGGGCAGCCTGCAGGCAGCCCTGGCTCCACCTGGGCTCCCCATTCCCCAGCAGGGCCCCGAGCAGGAAGCGGGAGCTTCACACTGCTGGATCTTCCCACCCTGAGTCCGTTTGCCTTTGCATGCTGCCCGCTGGGGTGAGGGTCCCACCCTGTCTCCCAGGTCCTTGCTCTGCCTAAGGGAGCCGAGCCTAGCAACTAGCCTTTGCCCAGGGAGGTGAAGCTCAGGCTGCTCAGGTGCCTGGACCCCTGCTAGCCTCCTCTAGGGCTTCCCTGATCCCCAAGCTTTTGTTCCTCAGCCCTCCACCCTGGCTTCCCCCTGCCCAGGGGTCTGGCATGAAATTGCAGGCCAGGGTCTCTTGGGTGGCTGCTTGAGAAGACAGAGACCAGATGCCCCTCACCCTGCTGAAGCCCGAGACCAATCCCTGTGTGGACAGTCTCTCACCAGCCCCCACTGACCCATGTTCCCCCAGGATTTCCCTGGGCCCTGGTGTCCTGCCCCTTTCGGAAGCCCCTAGGGTGGAATTTCTCAGGCTGCCAGGGCAGACCCAGGCCTCAGGAAGGAAAGGCCCTTGGCCTCTCCTGGGGTCAGTCCTAGGATGCAGGCTCGACCTCAGGTTTATAGGGGTGGTGTGTCCCCAGGGCCTGCCTCCTGCACAGGGCTTCAAGGAGCCCTGCTTCCGGACACGCTACTAAGTGCCTAGGGTTGCCCGCTGTGGCTTGCTCCCTGTGACTCACTGAAGAGAGGCTGCAAAGCAGAGACCCGCAGGGCAAAGGATGGGAGCCACCTCAGCAGGCACTAGGAGTGTGTGTAGGGGCAGGCGCTACCCTGGATCCCCTCCTGGGTGGAGAAGCCTTGATAGCCCTCTCCCCTACCTTCCCAGGCCCAGGCCTTACGCCTGCTCCCTGAGGCACTGATTAGGGCAGCCTAGCCCCCAATGCCCAGCCCCTTCCCACCAGAGAAGCACAGATGTCAGGGAGCTGTCTCAAGAGCCCAGCTGACTGCTGTGGGCTGCGGCCACTAGCAGCTGCAGGCTTCTCCCCACTGCCCTGCCACCTCTCCACTGTGATGTACGTGCAGTCCCTCGTCTGTTCCCACAGCAACATAAAGTGACTCTGGGGTTAACTGGGTGGGTGCAGCTGGGGGAAGGGGCCGGTGACAATTCTCAGGCTTTGGCCCTGCAAGTGAACCCCCATATCTGCTCTGTATGTAATAAACGTCTTAACATCGAACCTGTTTGTCCTTGGCTCCAAACCGATGAACACAAAGACTTTCTCTAATTTATTATAAAAGGCAACGGACCAAGCCAAGAGCCAGGGTCGATGCACTGGTGCGCCACTAGGTGTGCTGCGGCCGGTGAGGCAGGGGCTCTTGCCCAGCGGGTGCAGGGCTTGCTGGACTTGCACCCACCCGCCTGCCAGAGGTCCTGCCGCAGGAAGGACTTTCCGAGCGCTGAGGGCTTGACCGGTTGGTCTGCGCCCCCCCGGTGTTCTGAGGGGAGCCGATGCCGAGTCATCAGAGCGCCGCGCCCGGCTACTCGTACAGCCAGTGGCCGGCGCTGTCCTCCCAGCACAGCAGCTCGTTGGCGCCGAACCACAGCGCGATCTCGCGGCGGGCGCTCTCCACCGAGTCGCTGCCGTGGATCACGTTTCTGCGCGGAAGGGGCGCGCGTGAGCGCGGGGCGGGCCCCCACGTGGCCGAGCGAGGGGCTGGGGCCGGGACCGTCGCCGGGGCGGGCCTTACCTGCTGACCTCGACGCAGAAATCCCCGCGGATGGTGCCGGGCGGGGCGTCGGCCGGGTCCGTGGCCCCGATGAGCGCCCGCCAGGGGCACAC